TCTTCTGTAATTTGTTTTAAAGGAGAATATAATTTTGTTAAAGCAGCTGAAGTAAATACAGTAGTTAAAAGCAGGTTAGAAGCAGCAGCAGGGTTAACGCTAATGTCCAAGTACAACGTTATTTATTAGAAAGGCTGCTAAATCACGCTGCCTATTTAGAATTGCTACAAATGTGTGGTCAGATTTGCTTTATATTCAGCATGGATTATAAACCTTAATGACTAACATCGGAGCATTTCCTCCTCAAATTGTTTCGAAATTATTGTGGTCATCAGTCGTACCTGGTTCTCCTTGGTCTCCAACTGGCCCATCAATGGCTTTTCCAACAGGCCCCTTATCACCCTGTTCACCGAGATCACCTACAAGAATTTGATTATAAAAACATCAGTGACTAATCTGTAAGTTTCTTCTCTTAAAATGGGAATTTTTTAAAAGGGACTTCTGTCAAAACAGAATACTTGAAATAAATGAATAAACACTCTTCTTTCTCCTCACCTCTAGGACCGGGATCTCCAAGATCTCCTGGAAGTCCTCTGTATCCTGGTGGACCGGGAGCTCCAGGAAGTCCCATCGCTCCTGCTTCTCCTTGGTTTCCAGGAGGTCCAGCCGGACCCGGCCGACCCACAGCTCCCGGAGACAACGGCCTCCTCAGACGATCAGCCAGATGGGCAATCTGGTCTGAGATGGCATGTTTGGACTGTATTATTAGCATATTAAGCTGGCTGACACTATTCCTAAAGGTAGTTTTTTCTAAGCAGAACATGCAGGAGCTAGCCTTTAATTTAAATTTGCCAACGGTAATATAAATAATTTCCATCTCACCATTGATCATTGAGCCACACAGTTCTCTGATATGTTGTTCGCTCGCCAGTTTTCCCTAAAAGAAACACCACCATTAAAATATATATTCCCAATTAAACTTCTATATCATTACATCCTACGTTAAGAAACATTAATACAGGTCTAGATTAAAAGTCACACTGTGATGAAAAATGTAAGCTTGATTAGCTTCTTACAGATACACCAGTCTTTCCAGCCACACCAGGAGGGCCCGGTTCTCCATGGAAGCCCATCAAACCAGGTTTTCCAGGTAACCCTCTTGCTCCGGTCTCCCCCTGTGGCCCTGTTACTCCTTTAGGACCCAGCTCGCCATGCTTCCCGGGCTAAAATATTAAATAATGATGATTTAATCATTTTTTTTAATCATTCATTATATCATCTGGGTGTGTCAGATAATAATTGGAAGTGCTAATATTTAAGGGAAATATTAAATACATAAATATGACCCTACTAATTGAACTGAACTGTAAGCTTTCAGTCTCTGTCCTTGTTCGCACACAAAATAATCAGGTGTTTTTTTTTTTTGTTTGTTTGTTTGTTTTTTAATAAGCTGATGATTAATTCAACAGAATTGGTGCCATCGTTGTGTGAATAACACACATTATTTGTGTTTGTTAGGAAGTCAGAGTGAGGCAATATTGTAGTTTAAAACTAAACACTGAAATACTAAGCCTTTACAAAGATGGAACATGTTCTCTTTTTAATTCATTAAAAAGAATTAGGGCTGCCCATTAATAACTAAACTGACCATCATCATTATTATTATTATTATTATTATTATTATTATTATTATTATTTTTCTTCAGGCTAAAATTGACAATTTAGTACAATTTAACCGTTCAATTTAGGAACAAAATAGTTTTACTGAGGCAGTTTGCATCAATTCAATAACTTTTACATTGTGAATATAACCAGAATGAGATTTTATAAGTAAATGTCCAAAAACTATAGAACATATAACTTCTGAAAATACAAAATGTACACAGTTTAGAACTGTTGCATGGCATATCCATCTTCCAAAATATTTTATATTATATATATATATATACACACACACACACACACACACACACACACACACATGCTATAAACAGTCAATCCCTCCCTAGCCTTGGGTTTGTCTCCCTCTCTCTCGACATTAACAAGACGGAAATTTTTTTATCTTGTCATTTTAGCAAGAAACCAGAAAGCGTGATCTCCTCTGTCCTGAAAAACAGGAATGTTTACAAAGCACAGTGACCATTACAAAGCGCTGACACTGGAGACTCCTTCCATTATTAGTCTTAGATTATGCTGAGCGTCCGCCGTACAAGTTCCTGTGTATGAGCTGTTACTATAGAAACGATAACGTATTAGAACAATCGCACTGATATAAACCTTTCGTTCAAGCAACAAATGTAACGAATGTCTGAACCGTACGGTTATATCAAACGAATCCAATCGTTCTGAGTAATCAGATTCGAAGAGGTATTTTTTTCTTTATCATGGTATTCCATCACAGCCAATTACTCATCGGTATATCCAGGATTTTGTGATCGCAGAAATTAACGTGAAATCAAGCAAACTCCACAATATTCTGATTATATTGAAATCCTTGGAATTTTCTAGAATTAATGCAGATCTTGGCCAAGATACGTCATGTGACGTCATCACAACGTCAGTCAAAGCCCTCTTCGAATCATGTGCGTCGAACACGAGTACGGCGAAAAGGTCTCATTTACCAACAAACATTGTTATGTTTGTGTTTTGTGAAACTGCGATTTAGATTTTTGAATTCAAGTAGTTTTCCGCAAAAAAAAAAAAAAAAAAAAACACGCACAAAAAACTCAATTTGAAAATAGCCGTAGCAACAATCAGAAAAATAGTTATTACTAAACTTTCACGAATTCATACTCACCCCTCCTTTTTGGCCAGGAGGACCAAATGGACCCTGAAAGGAAAAGATGTTCACTGTATTTTATATCCAAGCATCATCAGTACTCAGATAATCATAATATATATATATATATATATACAAATACATACCGTTTCTCCATTCTCTCCAGGCAAGCCGTCACTTCCAGCCATTCCCTAGACGAAACAAAAAAGGCAGGAACATGTATAATAAACACACTCACACACAAACCAAAGATATAAGGTGACACAGATGCACTGTAAAAAAAAATAAATCAAATGAATGTAAAAAAAATTGCAACATTAAGCAGAAAAATTCTTACAATTTCGCCTTTCGGTCCTGAAGCTCCTGTTGGACCCTGTGACAGAGTGATAGAATCAAAGAGCGGCAGATAGATAAATTCATATTTGTGTGTGAGTGTGTGTGTGTGTGTGTGGTGTGTGTGTGTGTGAGTGTGTGTGTCCGTGTCCAGGCTGTGGTGCTCTACAAGGCCAAGCTTTGTTCTTTTCCCCACTCCCTGCACAGGAGCTGAACAGGAGCCGCCTTTGTTAGATGTCTCGTCTAAAATTTTTATGAAAACACGGCACAGTTCGACCCGAGTAAGAGAAACGGTGTCCTCCTGTGCTGGTTTATTTAATGTGAGTCTGCACTTTCATGAAGAAGATTTTATATACGTGTTTGGGATGGTATTCTGTATGATTTAAAGCAGTCCTATCTCTGTATACTTCCTTCAATAGTTATAAAATAAATTAGATTAGATTATTTCAAATATAACAGCTAGAGACTGGGATAAGAGTGCAGCGGACACTCCTCCTTTCTCTTTAATATGTCCAACACACATGTATAGTATATGGATATTTTATTCGTGTACGATGATACTTTATAGATGTTCACATCCATGTAGGGTACTACATGCAGTTAATACTACATCCAATGTAGTATTAACTGCAGTCCATATATGGAAAGGGACCTGACAAAGCACCTTTTGGGGATTTTAAGCACCTTGTTACACACAGCTACACTACTGGTCACATTGTATATGTCTAGGTAGAAGCTAAAGCTCATACAGTACTACAGTATGTATGCACAGTGTCAGGGAAAGAAATACAATTTGGGAGGGAAACGTGTGATGTGTAAGGTCTTATATAAAGCCACTAATCAAATCTTAAATGAAAAATCAGATTAAGAGCTGTATGACGTTACAACCGATTCTTAATTTACATGCTGGATAGTGATCACTTGATAGACATTTTCTTGTGACCTCATAAGTCAAGAAAAATGTAAATTAGTCATAAATAAATATTCAAAAGCGACAAGCAAACAAAACTGTCCGTCTTCTCGTGTCATTTCACCAAAATATTCTGAGAGCGCATATTAGTCATAGTCTGATTAAATACAATATGCGATATGCCTCTTCACTTACCCTCTCTCCAAAGTCTCCTCTGAATCCGGTTGGACCCGGAAGACCGGGCTCTCCAATAGCACCTTTAATTCCCTGTTATTCACAACACGGTATTGTTGTTAAAAACGACATCGAATACATTTACTGAACGCATGCTAACTCTGAGTTCACATACATACGAATTAACGTGTATGCTAACTTTACGAGAACTATTTTGGACAGTCTTTGTAGATCCAGTCTTGGTATAATATTGATTTAATACCAACCTGGAATCCTTTGACTCCCTGTGGTCCTGGATTTCCAGTTAGGCCGATGCCTCCCTGCAAAATCACCACAAGACGTGAATCAGAAACATTATGAACACTAAAGGAAAGAGGTACTTGGTATGGTCTGTTCGCTTATATGAAAACCTGAAAGAAAATAAAAATCTCCTATATCATCGTAGCATAATGGTTAATCGATTAAGCAGTACTCAAATAGCCAGGTCTTCTCTAATAACTAACTTCTGTCGTTAGGAACTGCAAAGTGATACCAGTGCTGTACCGATACCCACAAATAACCAACAATAGACAACACCAGAACTGATGTAGCTTGGCATCTTCTATACATCTATCCATTTCCTGTACCGCTTATCCCACACAGGGTCACTGTGAGCCTGGAGCCTATCCCAGGGGACTTGGGGCACAAGGCAGGGGACACCCTGGACAGTGTGCCAACCCATCGCAGGACACAATCTCACACACGTTCACATTTTAGAGATGCAAATCAGCCTACCATGCATGACTTTGGACTGGGGGAGGAAAACCGGAGTACCCGGAGGAAACCCACGAAGCACAGGGAGAACATGCAAACTCCACACATGCAGGGCGGAGGTGGGAATCAAACCCCCGACCATTGAGTTGCGAGGCAAACGTGCTAACCACTAAACCCCCCCCGAACCACTAATTAACATCTAACATGTAAATAATGAGTATTAATCAATTAGTACTCATACTGAGTATCGCAGTACCCGTGCACATGGTCAAAAAAATCAGCACAGCAAAGTGTAGACCCTGAATACCGAAGGGGAAAGGACGTGCACGTGTCTCAGTGCTCACTGAATTGAAGTTCTCTCACACGTGACCGTTTCTCTAGACACTTGCTGATACTGCTCCACACTTGCGAATACCTTTATGCATATGTATGTGTGTGTGTGTGTGTGTGTGTGCAAAAGTCACGGCATTCTCACAGTTATTTTATTTTTAATGACCACGCTCTCTGATAATGCTCTGTACACTCAGCGCTCTCTATTAACAGATAGCATTTAAACACTAAGACTTCCTTTTTTCAGGTTAATGTAGGAAGATTCTGTAGCTCTCTTGCTTGTTCACCAAGTGCAGAGTTTGCTGTCTGCTTTGCTTCGATTTCCTTCATTAATCATGAACTACATCCAGATCACGTGCTGTCTCATTGTAAATCTGCAGATGTGGTAGTGAAACGTTTTTGTGAGTACGTTCCTCTCATGCTACACATACGCCAAGCTGCAACGTTCGAACTACATGAGAAGTGTTCACACACAACGTGTTTTTGGGCTTAACTTCAGTCCTGTACCAGAAGACCAGTGAACTATACAGAATTTTCATGATTTTCCAACAATTCATCACGTATTACAGTCCAATAAACGTAAAAGTAGAACGTGAGAGAAGCTGTAAAAGCTGGTTCATATGTCTCACCCTTCGTAATCTTTGCCCTTTCCATGAAAAATACCATTTGTTGTACAGTTCACTCATATTGTCCGTAAATGTCATTCTGATGACGTTCATTTTCAGGATATTACAGATATTATAATCTTTGGTTGCTTAGCAACACTTGACCTGTATGAACCTCCGATCACAAGCCATCACGATCTATTGTTTTATTCAGATAAATAAGCAGAGCCTCTGCTGGAGCAATAACTCTGCTCTTCTCACCTGCTGCTTTTCATCTCATTTCCGAAACGAATTTAGCATGCCCCAGGAGACGAAACACAATCAGAATGAGGTTAAAAGCGTTTGCCCTTGTAGCTTTCTTAGCAAGTGAAAATATCTTGAATATAGTCAAATGTATCTAGTATTTCTTATTATATGAATATAATAAGAAATACTAGATACTTACACCTATTTCTGGACGTTATTACTCATTTCAAGCTTGTAGTTTTCTTATTCTATTGGCAGATAATTTTGCTTCTTGAAAAAAAATAATGCTTAAAATTATCTGGCAATAGAACAAGACTATTTCAAGCTTGAAATGAGTACAAATAGCTTGAAGTAGGTTGAATTGTACTCTTATACTAGGAAATACTAGATAGATTTGACTATAATTAAGGTATTTCCAATTGCTAAGATGTAATTTTTTTTCCCAGTGGATATACAACTGAACATAACATTATGATTGTTATGTGATTATTCCTTTATTGTATATTTTAGGTAATTCCTCACAAAGATCAGTCCCACCACGAACAAATAAAGGTATGAGCACAGGAAACAAAGCTAATCCCAAAACTTTGTCAACATTGTCTATATGAAATATACACCTATCATATTTAACCATTTGCAATTTAACGAAAGTGCACAATTTGCCGAAATTTTTGGGAGCAAAACATGACTCAACTAAACAAAGTACAGTACGTCACTGTTTCAAGAGAGGTACTGTACAAAGGGACTTGTTTGAATTAATGTCATTAGTTAACTAGCATTTTCCAAGAAGACAGTTTAGGCAGTACTAAAGAAGAACAACTACACGTATGAATTTGCATTATTTTGTGACAGTAGTCACTTAGGTGAAAAAATGACAGTGGCTGTATTGGCAAAAATGATCCAATATTGTAAAAATTCAGTGTACTTAAAACATTAATTTCAATTGTAATATTTTACCGTACAATTTTACTATTTACTGTTTTATAATGTACTTACAGCGATGCCTCTGGGTCCTGCTTCACCTCTTTCTCCTGGAATGCCAATCTCACCCTGTTACAGGAGGCAAGAAAAAGTCATTCTTGGATCCAAAACAAGGTATTTCGCATGATCTTACTACAGCAATGTTACTGTCTAGCTCATAATAAGAATTAGTGCAATCATAGAAAATCCAGAGTAAAATTGAACTACACAGTAAAAATGTAGAAGTACAATGACATGGCTACATAATAAAATCTAACTACATAGTAAAAACTTTGGGGGGAAAAAAAATTTAGATATTTAAGTAAAATAACCACATAAAAGAAATTAAAATATAACAGTCCATAGCTAAATAAATTAGCTTTATTAAGCTAATCAACTATATAATATTCGATAGCTGCAAAAACATAAACTGTAAGTACAGTGTAAAACATACTATAATTACAAACAAAAACAATAACTACGTATTAAAGAATAACTATAAATTATGGTAAAACATACTAACACAACTACATAATTATATAAATCCAGCTAAATAACTATACTGAAAACGGCAAATAAACATTAAAAAACGAAACAAAAGCAGAACATAACCATATAGTAAAAATAAACTATATAATGAATTAAACGGCATACACACACAAGCCAATAACTATATAGAAAAATGTAGCTACAAATATAAAAATTCCTACATAACTTCTATAAGTAGATTATAAAACTCACCATATAAAATCAACTCTATGTTTAAACAAAACAAAAAAAAAACATACCTACATACTAGAAATTAACTACAAAATTACATGGCAAAACATCAAAATTAACTCCACAGTAAAACAAACAAAAAAAAATACTAAAATATTTATAAAGTAAAACAACTCAACTTAAAACATCACATATAAAACAACAACATCAAAACATAAAAACTATTACAAAGAACTACATAGTAAAACACAACTGTGGAACAAAAGTACATTAAAAATAGCATGTATTAAAATATCCTCACTAGCTATGTTTCCATCCAAGTTTGGCTTATGCAAAAAATTTGGAATATCGCATAAAACATTTGCGAATAAAGGACCGTTTCCATCCCGACAAAATCGTCACTTCAGGGGAAACTGGCACATCTTGCTCTCCGCCATCTTTACTTTTATGAGCCAATTATCCATTCATATGATTTACTGAGGCAAAATCACATGACCCATCAAGGCGTTTATTCTGTAAATGTCTTTCCATCGTAATTTATGTCCATGTCTTCTTATCAAATAAAAAAAAATATATAAAAGTTTTTATGTGCATTTTGGAGATTTTTTTATTCGCATTCCAAATTTTGCATAAAAGTACGTGGATGGAAACACAGCTACTGTCAATTATACATGCAGCTATATTTTTGGCTTCAGCGTGTCACTGTAACAGAGAGCGCATTTATTTAACTGTTCTAGTTTTATCGGTTAAACATGACCATGACCATGCCTAAAGTGTTCGTCTACAAACGCCAATCAGATACATACAGGAATACCTGGTTCTCCAGCTGGTCCTGCTTCTCCCATCGTTCCTTGATCACCCTGCGCGATGAAAGAGTTTAACACAATATTAGGTTTTTTTGTCATATACTGTCACATCATGGAAGGTACTTAAACTGTGAAATCTTTCGTTTCGGAAAATTGTGATGCTAGAAAGTTGAACAAATTCCCTAATATTCTGCAAAATTTCAGGGCAAAACATGACATGCCATGACATAAAGTCGATGGAGCAAAGTTGCATGTTTAAATGTTAATTTTAAATCAGGGCTTGGTGTTTTAAATCTAACATAATGGCAATTAGTTGGTTAGCTTTGAAGATATATTCGATCAGGTTATGAGGTTACATTATATATACTAGATTATGGTGATATGCCACCATTTTGTATCAACATCTCTGATTACCTACACTTCAATGAGTGACATAATCTGGACATCTTTGTCATTCTATACAAATCTTTTCCAAGCAGTTCTTAAGAGTGTAGCTATCTTCGCAATACAAGTTCGACGTCACCCATAGTTGATTGTCTTGTCTTTAATATACCTTTAATATGTAGTCATACAACGGAAATATATCTAGTGCATGGCTGATGCTGAGAATATTCGGAGTTGTGGTGTTTACATTGGTCCAGATGGACACTGTAAAGATGGACACTTATAGCACAGAAGTGTCAATCATATCTGCAATAACATCTGCCCTTTTCCTCGTTTCCTGCCCTACATCTCAATAAGGATTTCATTGTATCGCAAAACAAAAAGCACTGTTACTCACGACAAATCCTTTGACACCTTTTACTCCAGCCTTTCCTGGCAAACCCTGAAGACAAACCCACACACACACTTACACACTGCTTACACAATGCTGTGAACAGTGCAATGTAGATAAAACTATCAATCGTTTACATTTAACATTCAGACTAATATCTGGCGTGTCTGAGTAAGATGAATACTCACGGGTAAACCGTTTGGCCCTTTCTCTCCAGGAACTCCCGGCTGTCCACCGTCACCCTGACGGACAGTTAGCAAAAAATCGTTCACGGTATGATACGCAAACTACTTATGACACGAGGAGGGGAAATAAATCAACTTTGCATTTCAGAAACCAGGCTTACTTTTTCACCATCGAATCCGTGAGTGCCATCTTTGCCATCTCTGCCTGGCATGCCCTGTTTGAGAGAGATGTGTGTTAAATCACATCACACACTCATACTCTATATACTCTATTATAATGATATAAATCACTTACAGGTTCTCCTTTCAGGCCTGGAGGTCCAGGCAGACCTTTAGGACCTATTTTTCCCTGTAGAGACGAGATCATGATGTAATGATATAATGCTCACCCGCAGCCAGTAGTACATCAGGGTCATTACTTAACAATCTCACGAAACAGGACGTAAAAGTGCGGCTTGTGGGCCATGAATCGATCCGTTATGTTGACGCATTTTCTTTTGAAATCATTGCGCATCATATTGAGGTTTAATATTTCGCTTTCAAAAGACATCAAAT